CATGGTGATACCATAAGATTATAATGGAATTGAAAAATTCCTATGGCTTAGTGACATCATAACTGTCAAAAAGTTACCGAGCACCACATTACCTGTTTATGATGATGCTGGTGTAAACAGATCTACTGTGCTGCCAGTCATATAAAAATATAGCACATACAGTTACATTAGTCTACTGTCTAGGTTTGTGTAAGTGCACTCTATGGCATTCACATGATGAAATTGCCTAACTGCATTTCTCAGAACAGTGTTGTTAAACGGTGCATGACTAATGCAGAGCAATTAGTAATTTGTACTAACAACATTTGTGGTAAGGTAGGGTCTTCCTATTTAGGAACCCTCCATAAGGTAGCAGCAGAATGATTATTTTAGGACAAGAGTCATTTCATTTCTGACATAAGTGGTTTTAAGTTTTTCCCATATCTTTGATACTATCTGGGAATAAGACTCAATAGAATGAAGGCTTCTTTAATACCTTGCATCCTCTCATTAGAACCACAGGATGAATAATCTCTATTTTAACTAAACTGATGAGCCAAAGTTTCTTGTAAGTGGGCCTCTCAACTTTCATGCATAAAAATTGGAAGGCCAGCAGTTCTACATCTTGTATATTAACACCCCCAAGACCTTCCTTCATACACAGTCTCAGTTTTTCGTATATCATCTGACAGAGCATTTGCTAAATGGTGCCACTGCCCTACATACAGGTGGGCAAAAGTAGGGTTACTGTTGTGAATACACAAAACACAGTTTATTCTTGTGTTATTATTTCCTAATTAATGTATAATTTTCCATACAAACAAATGTAAACCTACTTTTACCCTACCCTGTATCCTATATAATAAAAGCCTAATATGCTAAGTGTCCAGTTGTCCAGTTGCCATTCAACCAATCAAAGCATAATATGCTAATGATATGCTAAGGCTGCTCAACTGATTGCTGTGGCGTGCACTGACCACCAGGGGCAGGCAGTCGACCGGTTGACCAGTCGCTATGACATGCACTGACCACCACGGGACAAGTGCTCCTACCAGTAGTTAGATTGCTGCTTGGGTCCGGCTGATCGGGACTGAGTGCAATGGGCCGGACATGCCCTGGAGTGCTTCTATGGTCCCTCCCCGGTTGGCCAACCTCCTCCATCCCTCCCTGGCCCTGATCATGCACTGGTGGGGTCTGTTGGCCTGGCCTGAGCCCTCTTGCAATCCGGGACCCCTCAGGGGATGTCGGGGAGCTGGTTTCAGCCCGACAGCGGAACGACCCGTTGCTATGATGTGCACTGACCACCAAGGGGCAGACGCTTAACGCAGAACCTGCCCCCTGGTGGTCAGTGTGCTCCCAGAGGGGAAGCACTGCTCAGCCAGAAGCCGGGCTCACAGCTGGTGAGCACAGCAGTGGTGGCGGGAGCCTCTCTCACCTCTGCAGCAGCACCAAGGATGCCCAACTGACGGCAGAGGGAGCGGGCCTAAGCCGTCAGTTGGACATCCCCTGAGGCCTCCCGGACTGCAAGAGGGCACAAGCCGGGCTGAGGGACCCCCACCCAAGTGCACGAGTTCGTGCACCGGGCCTCTGTTATTGTATAAAGACAGATACAGTGGAGTTTCATGATTTGATTTTAATGTGTTTATGTACTTATTTTCAATGGATAGATGTTTTGACTAGTAGAATTATATAAGGGTTTCTCTAGAAGTATATATTGCCATTAGTTTTGAAAATGTAGTGTATGGCCAGCTTTCTTATTTATTGTTTTATTGTCTTTTTTTTTAAGAGTCAACACAGACTGTCCAAGCTCTGCAGTATTCAACTGTTGATGGTCCACTAACAGCAAGCAAAGATTTAGAAATAAAAAGTTTAAAAGAAGAAATTGAAAAACTAAGGAAACAAGTAAGAGGTAAATTTCTGTGATTCACTATTAATTAAGTTTAGTAGACTTTTTAAAATATTCTACTCACACACAAAACATTTATTGAATACTGCATGTGTTACGTGTTATGTGGGATAGGCTATGTGCCAGTGAGGGAAAGCAAATAAGAATGGTTGCTGCTTTCAGGAGCTCACATTTTGGTCTGGGAGAGAGATCAACAAATCGTTTTTGCCATGCACGTGTACAGGCTGCCAGAAACATAGATGTAGGTGCATGGAGCGTGCCTAGGAGGAGCGCCTCACCCAGATTTCAGTTAACAAAGGTGACTTTTTGGAAGACCTATTAGTTTGGAATATTTAGTTGGAATTTGTCTGGTAAAGTATATGTATGCGTAGGCGAAAGTGTGTTAGACACGAGGAAGGACAATCAAAGGAATTGCATGTATGCAGGCATGAAGGCATGTGAAATTTTATTTTTTTGGTAACTTATTTTTCAGTGTATTGCTGAGATAGATGAAAATTAATTTTGACAATTCTTGATATACCTATTATATCCATTCATTTACTTATTTAATTCATTTAACAAATACTTACTGAGCACCTACTATGTGTACCAGATGTTATTTTAGGCTCTCGGGATTTTAGAAGGGACAAGAGCTTAAAAAATAGAGCAGAATAAGGGTTGCAAGTGCATGATAAGTTCTATAATTTTAAGTAGTCCCGGTGTAAGACTCATTGAGAAGGCGACACGTGAACAAAAACTTGAAAATGGATAGGGACTTAGCCATGCACTTGCATTGGGAACTTATGTTCCAAGGAGAAGGACCAGCCAGTGCAGGGCCACAGAGTCAGAATGAGCCTCTTGAGTTGAGAGAAAACACAGAGGACAGCATGGCTGGCGTAGGATGAGCAGCAGGGAGAAGGAAGGAGGCGAGGTCGGGGAAGTAAAGGGGACAGAGGGCTTTTGCCTGGTCAGCAGAGTCTTACTGAGTGTTTTAAGAGCTTTGGATTTGTTCTGAGTGAAATAACCTTTCCCAGGGTTTAGAGTCATCCATGATCTCGGTGGGTTTAGAGAGAAAGCAGTTTGTTATATATTGATAACTTTCTTTTCCTTGTTCATTATGTAATTGTTTTAAGTATTTCCTCTTCACATGTTATAGATGTTTATGTTTCCTCCCATCATGAAATATAATTTAGAAAACTGTAGAGAAGAAAAAAATTCAGTTGTATTTACCATATTTTTATATGCCATGTTCTTCCTTCCTTCCTGAAATGGCTGAGTTCCTTGTTTGCTTTCTGTTTAGAGAGCTTCCTTTAGCCATTTTTAAAAGGTGGGCCTGCTAACAAATTCTTGGTTTTTCTTCATCTGAGAATGTCTTAAATTCCCCCCTCATTCCTAAGATATGTTTTTGCTGGGCACAAATACTTATTGAGCACCTACTATGTGTACCAGATGTTATTTTCTCTAGATACTTTTTAAGCAAAACCTTTGTGTAAACAAATTTCCCACTGTTAAGGTTTTTATATCTTTTCTTTCCTATGGCAACATTTTCTTTCTTTTTTAATATATTTATTTCAGAGAAGAAGGGAGAGAGAGAGAAAATCAATGATGAGAGAGATTCATTGATCGGCAGCCTCCTACATGGCCCTTACTGGGGATGGAGCCTGCAACTTGGGCATGCTCCCTGACTGGGAATCAAATAGTGACCTCCTGGTTCATGGGTACTCACCATTGAGCCACACTGGCCAGGTGGCAACATTTTCCAATATTTTAAAACTCCTAGAATATTTTAATCTGTATAATAAAAGCATAATATGCTAATTAGACCAGACGTTTTTCCAGACACAGTCACAGTGGGCGGGGGCCAAGGCAGCCACTGCAGTGGCAGGGGCCAAGCCCCTTGCACAAATTTCATGCATTGGGCCTCTAGTATATTTATAATTATTTACAATTTCACTTTAGTATATGTTCTCTTCATCATACTCTGACTTGAAGAAGGTAGGACAGAGTTTCCTGGTACCTTATAATGGACACTTAATACATCTTTATCTGTAGACAAAAAAGAAATTCATACTCTCATTTAATATTTTTATGAGAAAATGAAGAATGGATTTTGTTTTTTTAATAAAACATTTTTGTAACCTATTATGTGCTTTATAACACCATTCTTTTATTGCCTTGATGTTGGTGGTTTGTGGCTCTATGTACTGTCTCTCCAACCCTAAACTAATTCTTTCCCTCTCTCTGTCTCTCTTCCCTACTTTCTCCTCCTCTCCCCCACCTCTCTCTTCTAATTTATGTAGGTAAAGGAGAAATATAGTGAATGGGTAGGGCAATAATAGATGTCATATCCACCATGGCTAGAAGTAAAACCTCATCTCAAAGGAGTTAGGAATCATTTTAGGAGTAAGAACATAATGGAAAAGCTATGGCATTATGCTCTTGGGAATCGGAGAGTAGTGCTTTGATTGTCGTATTAATCTCCCTCTGGCCCCAGTCTTAGCCCCTTTGCAATTTACAAAATGCAACTTTACATACATTTTCAAAAATTCGAAAAACAACTATACTATCCATAAAAGTATTTAGACTTTCAGAACACCTAAGATGAATAAGCTTTTAGCAAATCTATAACTTTAGGGTACTAAATAGTAGTAAATTACTGAACTTAAGAAATCTTGAACCAGTTAGTGTGTGATACACTGATACATTTAAGTGACTTTTTGGCTATAGGACTTGTCTATACAAATGAAATATTTACTCTTTAATTGGGCTAAGGTAGTATCAATGCTACTTTATTTACTGAGGCTATAAAACTCAACAGTGTACAGTCATTTGTGCATTGGTTCTCAGACTTTCCTTTGCAAACAGTGTGATTCTGTGAAAGTGCAGATTCTGACTCAGTGGGTTTGGAGTGGGTCTGAGACCCTGCATGTCCAACCAGCTCTCAGAGGATGCTGGTGCTGCTTGTCTGGGGCTAACTCTCCGAGTAACAGGGTGTAAAGAACAGAAACTATCCTGAACAGAATTAGCAAGGAGTACGTTTTGATTTTCCTGTTTAAATGGCTTCAGCTCTTCAAATAGAAACATTTTATACCAATTTATTAAATATTATTTAAACATATACTAAATATAATTTTTTTTCATAATAAATCTTTTTAACTGGTAATGTTAAACATTATTTAATAATATTACTTTCTGAATCGGGGAGGCTGATGCAAGAATGCTGGTCTCAGATGTGATACTCCTTTAGAATAGGACCCTCAGAGGGTTCTTCAACTCCCTTGAGCCTCAGTTTTTTCATCTGAGAAATAGAGGAATGAACCTCAATTAGAGGTTTTCAGATACTTACTTCCAGAAATCAGAGTTTAGTCTTCAGTCATCACGAGGGAAACCAAGCTGCATGATCTAGAACCACAGTATTAGAAGCAAAGTCATTTTCTAATGACTTGACTAACATCAGCACCCTAATGCCAACCAGCAGGAGAGGAAAACTTGTCTGTTTTATTCGTTTGGCTGGTTTTGTTCTGTTTTGTTCCCTGTAAGCTTTTAGCTGGCTCTAAAGGCACTATTTTATTAGAATCACGGTCTTTTATTCTAATGGATGTGTAAGGTGTTTTGCAAATTTTCACACTGGTACCAGCCCTTCGAAATCTTTACACTGATAAGCATTTAGTTGTCAGAAGTCACAGTGAATGTGGTGCCAGGAAGCCTAATACCAATTCAAAATATATTTTTTTAATTTAGTTGTTTTAAACTTTGGTTTTCAGCATTTGCTTTTATACAAATAGTAAAAGAAACACTGTCTTCTCTTTAGAATCCAGTCAGTTGGAACAACAACTTGAAGAAGCTAATTCAGTGAGGCGAGAACTAGACGATGCTTTTAGACAAATCAAGGCTAATGAAAAACAAATCAAAACATTACAACAAGAAAGAGAAGAATTAAATAAGGTAAAAAATATAGATAGGTTGTTAAAGGCTTTTCTGAATTCTCAATCTTGTTTAATTTGTATACTGAAAGCATTCATATTGAATTGTACTAATATATAGTAGATGTTATCTGTAAAAAGTTGCTTTAAAAATTTAGCAATTATTTTGGTGTATGTCATTTGATTAATGGCTGGTAATGAAAATCTTATATTCTTGAGGCTTTAAAATTCTAATCTTTTTTTTTTCTTTTGGAAAGTTACTAATCAACGGATTTGATTAAAAGTGAATGTTACTAAAAAAGAAATATGAAGAAATAAGAGAATAGTAAAATCAGTAAATGTCTGTGGACAAATAAAAATATAGGCGCATTTTTATTATGACTTACTAATACCAACGTTCCTAAAAGATTATAATGGAAAATTTCTTTTTTTAAAAAAGAAAAATATATTTCTTTATTGATTTCAGAGAGGAAGGAAGAGGGAGAGAGAGATAGAAACATCAATGATGAGAGAGAATCATTGATCGGCTGCCTCCTGCACTCCCCCTACTGGGGATCGAGCCTGCAACCCAGGCATGTGCCGTTGTCGGGAATTGAACCTGGGACCCTTTAGTCCGCAGGCCGACACTCTAGCCACTGAGCCAAACTGGCTAGAGCAGAAAATTTCTTTAATGCTTTAAAAAAATTTTTAAATGTCAGTTTATCTTTCAAAGTGTAGATAAACAAACTAAAGTTATTTTCATAAGGACTTGGTGTAACAAACAGTATTATAAACATCAACAAAATGTATTAATAGCTAGGACACTGTAACAGCCTAATAGGGTAAGTAATATTCAAGCTCTAGAGAAAAATACTTTACTTAAACCACGTTCTGTGGGAACTTTGCCTTTCATTGACTTATTTTTTTAAATATTGGAATTAACACTAGCCAGTGCAATAAGAAATAAGTGGCTTATGATGTAGTAAAAATTGAATTCAGTGATGTAGTATATAATAATTGATTAATAGCTAGTAATGAAAAACTACTAAATTATTGTACATAATTATTATAATTATATATATTAGTTGCCCGTACGGGAGGCAACAAATCAGTGTGCCTCTCTCACATCAATGTTTTTCTCTCTCTGTGTCTCTCTCTCTCTCCCACCTCCCTTCCACTCTCTCTTAAAAAATCAATGGAAAAAATATCCTTGGGTGAGGATTAACAAAACAAATAATAATAACTACATGGCTCCCTGCATGCCAGTTTGTTCTTCTGGGCCATTGCAGTGATTGCTGGGTGGGTAAAGCCCTGCACACAGACAGTCTGTGCTGTGGGTGAGGACCCCGGCCTGTGAGTCAGGGTTTGTGTACAGAGGAGAGAAGCAAACGCTTCCTGCTCCCCGTCTCCACCCACCCGTCTGAGCCCCTCCTTGGAAACCTAACGAGAAGGATCAGGACACTGGAATATAAACACCGTCCAGTGTGAAGCTGCCCAGAGCCCCCAGCTTTATAAGGAGGGCAGCTCCCTGGTCAGGCTCTTCACTGGAATGGAAGCGCATGCGCCCAGGAGTTCAAGCTCTTTGGATCTCTCACCATCAAAATTACCCATAAATTACTCTAAAAGGCTTGCTTATTTCCCAAGTTTGAGTCAGATTTGCTTAGAAAGGCTTAACTGTGCCAAAACATAAAAATATTTTCTCTGTAGACCCACATTCTTTTTATCCACAAACATGCTATATCTCTCCAGATCATTAAGTCTTTTTAAATGTTTTTCTGTAAATTTTTATACAGGTCCTGTTTGCTTTTTCTTAAATTTATTATTCTCTGTTTCTTCACATTTTAGATAGTATCTTTAGAAATTACATGTTCTTATTGATAGTGTTGTAGCAATATTGCTTAACTGTTATTAATTGTAATAACATATTTGAGATTCTTTAAAGTTTTCTGCAAATGACAGAAATTATTTAAAATTTTTAAATATTTAAAAAAATTTTATGACTTTTCTTTCTTTCCTTGTCTTACTGTATTAGCTTGGACCTCTAGTACCATGTCAAATAGAAGCGGTACTAGCAGTCATTTCTGTCTTATTCCTGATGTCAAAGAAAATGCTTCTAATATTTCACCACTAATAATAATGTTTCTCTATGTTTCTGTTAACTCTTTTGTTCCTATTTTGCTAACCATTTTTATCAAAAATGAGTATTGATACGATTGTTCTTCAATAAATTGGTGTACTGAATTATATTTACAGACTTTTTAAATGTTAAACCACTTCTTCATTTGTGGGTTAAACAGAAATGATCCATGAATTAGCTTCTAAATAATAACATGATAGTATAGGTAACACATAGCATGTCTTCTAATAGCACTGTTTTAAGTGCTTTATATAGATTAGACCATTTAATCTTTGTTAGTGCCCTGTGATTTGGGTGATGGTATTATTATTCTCATTTTACAGATGGTAAGACTCAGCACAGAGAAGTACATTTGTTCAAGATTATAGTAGAGCTAGGAAGTGGAAGAGCTCGAATTTCAACACAACTCTAATTCTAGAGTTTATGTTTTTCACTTTATACATCATTAGAACTGATTTGCTAATGTCTTTTTTTCTGAATTTTTAAAATTTGTTTTCATCAGTAAGATTATCTTGTAATTTTCTTCCTTATCTTTCTAGTCTTTCTTAAAAAAA